TGTCTTTGCCCCTCACCCTGCCTGTCTCAGCCCTTGGGGCTTCCACTGTCTTTTCAGATTCTCTGTTGATATGGGTCCAAGTCCCATCAGTTCCTTGAGGACCGGCCCCATGCCTCCCCCCCCCAAGAGAGTGACTTAACCCTTTTGCACCCACGGGGCAGCAATGCACAGTACAGAGGGAAACCACAGCCCACATAATGCGGCCCCGCCCCTCACCCTGCCTGTCTCAGCCCTTGGGGCTTCCACTGTCTTTTCAGATTCTCTGTTGATATGGGTCCAAGTCCCATCAGTTCCTTGAGGACCGGCCCCATGCCTCCCCCCCCCAAGAGAGTGACTTAACCCTTTTGCACCCACGGGGCAGCAATGCACAGTACAGAGGGAAACCACAGCCCACATAATGCGGCCCCACGGCAGCACAGGTTCTAACTGGCCTGGGCTGGCAGTATCAAGGACCAAGCTGAGTTGGAAGGGGGCTGATCACAGAGCAGCAGAGATAGGGATAAGAAGATGAATGACCCTCCTGCCTGGCACCGCTCACCATCACCGCACACAGTGGCTCACTGGCCCGTTCACCATGGTATAAATCACAAGAACAGCTAAGAACTCAACCGAGATTTGGGCCCCGTCGCATGAGGCGCTGCGCAGAAATGGAGCAAGAGAGTCTCTGCCCCAGCGGGGTCACAGGCTGAATGGACAAGACAGACAGGGTGGGAAGGAAACAGAACAGCTTGCTAAGTCACACAGCAGGCAAGGAAATAGGAGCAGGACTGAACTCCCAGGCCAGTGCTCTCCCCACTGGGCACTTCTGCCTGCCTCACCTGCAATTCGAGTTTTGATGGTCCTAGGATAACTCACATTCCCTGGCCCTTGGATTTACCATAATTGCAAGTGTCAGGTTCCCAGCAGGGCTCCCTCCTGGATTGTCCAGGGAATAAACCTGCTCCTCGGTCCTCAGCACCTGCTGGGATCTCCCATCCAGGCACTGGCCCAGCACAGCCCTCCCTTCTGCCTGCCTCACCTGCAATTCGAGTTTTGATGGTCCTAGGATAACTCACATTCCCTGGCCCTTGGATTTACCATAATTGCAAGTGTCAGGTTCCCAGCAGGGCTCCCTCCTGGATTGTCCAGGGAATAAACCTGCTCCTCGGTCCTCAGCACCTGCTGGGATCTCCCATCCAGGCACTGGCCCAGCACAGCCCTCCCTGCTG